AGATTCCTTTACTTTAACAAAGAAAGGTCTGAAAAGGAAAGGCAGAAAGCAATGCCATTTGCAATAACCACCCAGAGGATGGCGTACTTAGGGATAAATCTAATCAGATACATAAAAGAAAACTACAAAACACTACTAAACAAGAAACCACAAGAGACATACATAAATGGAAATAAATAAACCATGCTCAAGGTTGGACAACTTAACATTGTGAAAATATTGCTCAAAGTATACAGATATAATGAAACTCAGATCCAGATTCCATTATTGATCTTTAACAAGATGGGAAAACTAATTACCAACCTTCTACAGAAAGGAAAATAATTCTAAATAAACAAAGCACTACTAATGGGAAACAAAATAGGAGACCTCAAACACTCCAATCTAAAAATCTACTATAACAGAACAGAGAACCCAGAAGTAAATCTGTCCTCTTATGGACAGCTGATCTTTGACAAATAGTTGAAATTCCTTCAAAAGGGAAGAGACAGTCTTTTTAACAAAAGTTGCAGGCAACATAGGATACCCATTTGCAGAAAAATGAATCGGGATCCATAACACCCTCACCATATAAAACAACTAGTTCAACAGAATTCAAAGGCCTAAGTGGGAAACCTAAAGCTATAAAGATCATCAATGACAAAATAAGGGCAAACTTAGAGGCAATAATACATGACACAAATGCACTAGCAAACATAACTAAAAACAAACAGCAGAACACAAAGTAGACAACTATGTCCTCCTCAAAATCAAAACCTTTATGCATAAGAAACGTCTTCGTCAAAAGAGTAAATGGAGAACCTACAGACTGGTGATACATTTGGCAACGATGTATCAGACTAGAGGCGAATCTTACAAATGTGTAGAAAACGTCAATAACGCAACAAGAAGAGAAACAAGTCAAATAAAAAATGGGTAGAAGACATTCACAAGAGAAGACATTTAGGTGTTCAACAAACAGGAAGAAATGTCCACGGTCCTGTCATCAGAGACTTGCAAATCAAAACAGTGAGATATCGCCTTGCCCAAGCACTCATAGCAGAGTTCAAGGCGACAGAGTGACAAATGCTAGCAAGGATGCAGAGGGACTGCCACACTCACTGCTGGTGGGACTTTAAAATGACACAACTGCTGTGGGAAACAGTACAGCACTTGCTTAAAGATTGGAAACAGAAATAGCATATGATCCAGCAATTCCCCAGTGGGGAATATGAGAGAAATAAAAACTGTGACACAGATATATGCACACTCATATTAATTGCAGCATTATTCACAGTAGCAGAAAAATAGAAGCAACCTATGTGTCTATTAATGGATAAATGAATTTTTTTTAAAAATGAGGAGCTGACACCAAGGGCTCAAGTAGAAAGCAGGTGTTGTGAGAATGATGATGGCAACATATGTACTAATGTGCTGGACACAAATGATGTATGTACGGATTGTGTCAATCAGAGAAGGATAAAAACTGTACGAAATCACTACTGTCGAAAGTCACAAAGAGGTTTACACATAGACACATTATTTGAAGCTTACCCTAGGTGGGAAGAAAAGTAAGAGAAAATAGCTAACGAGACTTAAGACACTAGAGAAGCACTGTGGTGGCTACATAATCTGTTGTCAATTTGAGGATTAAGAGTGAAGGTGTGGAGTTTACCTGTCAATCAGGTGGCAGCTTAATGACTCATTTGGAGGCGCTAAGGAGATAAATAGCTCCCTTGAGGTGGGACACATGCTCAATCCCTGTGAGACATTCTTGTTGACAAGGCACATGGAGACAGGCTGATGGCAACCAGAGCCTCAGAGCTGGAAAAGCCATGTGGAGACCCATGACAGTGCTGAGCTGTTTACACCACCACTAGATCCACAAGACTTTCTACCCATGGGCCTGTGATCATCTTGCATGTGTTGCGTGAGTCTGAAGAGAAATTTATAGACTGGTATCGGACATATGGGCTAATACTGGACTTATGGACTTGATCTGGACTGGGCTGGGATGTTTTCTCAATATTCAATTGCTCTATATATAAAGCTCTTTCTTATACACATATGCATGTTTATGAATTTGTTTCTCTAGTCTACCCGGACTAACACAAGCACAAAAGATAAATGCTCTTACACATTATAATCCTGTAAGAATAGTAATAATCTATGAGTAGATCTCTAGACACTCAGGATGAATAGGGATGCAAAGGTGAACAGAATCACAACCGTGAAGAGTTTTGACACCTCTGCATGTCTGCATATATTTTTATATGAACTGCAAATACACCCATGCATGCAGTGCAGCATATAGGAGACAGAATTATGAAAACTTCTTAGCTATCACCAAACACCTTGCAGAAACTAGTCTCTGAACCTGGAAGCTCAAGACCATCTTCCCAGGAGACATCAAAACCAACTGGCATAACATAGTCCACAGACAGTGGTCCACACTCTACTTTGGTGAGTCGTGACTGGAGTTTTAAATGTGTTTGAGCAGCCTTCTTGGCTTCTCCCTGGCTGAAGCCAAAGAAGACGGAAGAAACAACAAAGATATCGTGCAAACAATTAGTCCAAAGAACTAACGAACACATGAATTCCAGCCTCCATGACATTGAAACAAGAAGACCTAGATGGTGCCCAGCTACCTCTACTGACTACTCTGAAAGGGTTTCCCATAATAGGTATTGGATAGAGTGGGAGATAATGCAGAACAGAACTCAAAATAATAATAATAATAATAAAAAGACCAAATTTACGGGCCTGATAGTGACTAACCCCAGGAATGCTCTTCAGGCCTGGAATTGAACTCACCCCATGGTTCAACTTTCACTCAAACAATAGACGGGCTGACAAGGTGAACAGTAAAAGCAAGGGCATACACTACTTTCAACTACTGACTATATAAAGTCAAAAGAGTCCCATTTGCCCGGGGATAAAATTCAGAAGGAAAGAAGGGATAGGGAAGAAAATGGTAAGTATCAGGGGAAGGTGGAAAGAGTGTTACTACATTGTAGGGTTGCAGCCAATCTCATCAAATATATTGCGTGTGAATTGTGGAGTAGAAAAACAATTTGCTCCAAAAACTTTCACCCAAATCACAAAATTTTTAGAAAGGGAAGAGAAAAAAAATTAACTGGTGACTAACAATGATATAATTTAAATAATATACAACATCCACAATTATAAGGCACCTAGTAACAGATTTCTAAAAAATATACAAGTTTTATGGAAAAACTGTAAAACTCTGGAAGACTTTTAGAATATTAAAATAAATAAGAAGAGCCGGTTTTTAGAAATATATCAATTTATCTGAAAACCAATCTATAGTTTGATATGTTTTCAGAGAAAAATCTAGCAAGGGGTTCTCTGATTTTGTTTTATGTGAGGAATTCGAAAACAGATTCTAAAATATATATGGAAGTTCAAAGTATAAGAACAGCCAACATAATTGTGAATATGTAAAAATATTTCTATAAAACTAGGGCAATTATCAAGTATAGTATTGGAGCACGCTATACAAACAGATGAGGAGCAAAATAGGCTGTCAGTAAATGGACTCATGAATGTACGGAAACTCAATAAATGCAAGCGGGGACATTGCAGATCTTTAGAAAGGAATTAATTCAGTAAACGATTCTTAAAATTGACAGGTGCTGGAAAAACTGACAGTCCCTAAGGGAAAAAAACATGAAATCGGATGACTTCCTCCCACCACAGACACAGAATTCCCATAGATTAAAGACTTCATGTGAAAAGTGAGAGTCTCAACCTGAATAATTGTGTCTTGTGAGGTCAGAGGTGACAAGATGCAGAAAATGTTGACTATAAAAGAAAACATCGAACCATTAATTTCTTATTTAAGAATTTATGTTCCTCAAAAGGAAGCATAAGGTGTAAGCCAAGCCATGTGTTTTCAGAGGACAGCAGTGACGTCTACCTTTTTTCTTTAAGATAAAGAGCAACTAAAACAAGTTTTGGTGCAATGATGACTCCACAAGACATCGTAAATTTGTACACGCACATACATAAATGACTTGGCCACTATCTAGTCAGGTAGAACATCGGTGTACTCCACAAAATAGTCATTGCTCCCCTTGTTGGCATATATCCCAAGATATAATTTCATCCGAGAGATTGCAAACTCTGGGTGCCGGCAGTGGTATAAAATATATTTCTCAATCTGGCTCACGTCAGTCAAGTTTGAAAGACCCGTAGAAACTCTGATACAAGTTCCCTAGAAAACATGTACATGTCTGTTCACAGCCTTGTGCAAATGCCGAAAAACTAGACCTAGCTCAAATATCCATTGATATGGGAGGTTAGCATGAGCAAATAAAGTATGGCAAGTGTGCATAATGGAGCATTATAAGCAAGAAGATCCGCTCTTCAGTTACACAAAACAACCTTGTACGAATCTTAGAAACAAGATATTGAAGAAAAGAGGAAATTGCGAAATACCACAGATGGTAGGCCCTACTGAAACTTAAAGGCAATACTAAAAACAAAAGTGAATTAAAAAAAAAAAAGACCCTAACAGATTAAAAAAACAAAAAACCACTGATCCTTCAGCTAGACATTCTAAGTTCCAGCCCCAGCTCCATCGTTCACTAGCCACGCTTCCCTTGGGCAAAACAGTGCCTCAGTTTTCACACATGTGAACCGGGAAAAGTAACGGCATCCACCTGGGGGGGGGTGGGGGAGGGCAGGGGGTTGAGCAGGACCCAAACTTGTAAAGTTCTTGGAACAGTGAATATGGAAGGGAAAGAGCACAGGTTTCTAGAAGAGAATTTGTCATGTTTTCTTTCTATATAGATCAAATGGGAGGAAGCCTCAAAAAGTTCATGGAAATATGGAATCGAAAGATGATGGAATTTTCCCACAAACTTTTTTGAAGGCCTCTCTTATTAATTAAAAAAAAATCAAATAAGAGAGAATCGTGCCGCGGCAAAGCTCTCTAACTCCCGCTCGGTGATAAGGCACGGAAAGCCAAGGGCAGTGATGGGCTGGACAAGGCATACCTGGTTCTCAGCTTGTCCCCCAGGGCCGCAGTCCAGTTCTGGAGCAGGCCAGCCAGCCGTCTTTCTTCAAACTGTTTGGAGTACTCAGCCAGCAGTTCCCGAGCCACAACCTGTGCATAGAGTGGATCACTGTCACACAGGTCCCACAACTGTCGGACTCCATCTACCTGCTAAATTGCTACACGATGTTGTGTTGTTTGGATCCATTAAAATTCATCAATCAATTAGAATCATAATTTCCATTCTGTTGGATATGCGGTTTAGTTCCAAGTTTACACGTGTAAACTGTTATGAACAGCTCTAATATCAAAATAGTCAAATAACAGTGTTCTTTTTTTATAACTATCTGAAAATAAATCCCATGAACTTAACTTAAGGTTCCTAATGCAAAGGTGCTTAAAGGGGACAAACCTGCCTGTGAGGGGAGGAGGGCGGTACTAGGAAAGGTTGGCCAACTTTGGGGGAGCTTGGCTGGCACTGGTGACAGTCATTCCCACAACACATGAAGCAGTCTCGGTCTCAGAGGGCTGTGCCACGTGCAATGTTATGCCAAATGTCATGTGGGCAACTGCACAGCCAGAGCCACTCTCAGGGAGACCAGCTTCCTGGTTCGTATGCTCCGAGGTGTAGTCTTATGAATTGCCGCTGAGTCAGTTCCAGCTCATAGAGCCACGTTGCACAACAGAACAAAACACTGCCCGGCACGGTGCCATCCTCACAAGGACTGTTATGTTGGAGCCCACTGTTGCAGCCACCAGGTCAGTCCATGCTGTCGAGGGTCTGCCTCTTTTTCATTGCCCGTCTCCTTTACCAAGCACGTTAGTCTTCTACAGAGACTGGTCTCTCCTGATAACATGTTCAAAGTATGTCAGACAAAATACTAGGCCTATCTCTCTCGCTGCCATTGAGTTGATTACAATTTATAACAACCCTGTAGTACCAGGCCCCTGTGCGTTTCCAAGACTGCAACTCTTTACAGGAGTAGAAAGTCTCATCTTCCTCCTGAAGAAGGCTGATAGGTTTGAACTGCTGATCTTGAAGTTAGCAGCCGAACATGTAACCACTATGTCACTAGGGTTAAACTCTCCCACTCTTTCCCTTGACATTAAAGGCAGCCCCAGGACACACAGTGACAAATGACATGCAAGCTTCCTGAATGACTTGGCCCTTCTTTCCTGTCCTGTTACCACAACCACCTGCAGTGTTCATGGTATGACTGGTCTTGAGCCTCAGACTGCATTTGAGTTGCCACGGTCAGTCTGGGTATAGATGTGGTTTTGTGTTTGTTTTGCTTTAAATTATGTTCCTTGTGTTTCTTGGCTTCATTTTCTTGATCTCATGAATTCTTGAGATGATGTCTCTGGATAGGTTATATTACCCACGATTTCATCTCCAGGAAGTAAAAGAAGGATTCTGAAGTATGTATTATACAACAGAAAGTAAGTCCAATAGGTTTGAGATTCACTGTATTACAGGTCAAAGGATTTCCATTGCTTTGCCAAATAAGTGTTCAAATCACAGACTGTCTGCAAGGGTCGAAGGGAAAATTGAGGAAACAGATTTCACCAGAATTAGGATTAATGTAATACAACCATCAAGTTGGTTTCACTGCTATGCTGCTGCTAATTACTTCATCATTTCCAACAAACGACTCTTCCATGATGGGTCAGGGTCAGGCTAAGAGAAGGTGGGAGAAGATGCTGAAGGATTAAATGACTCAGCTGTTGAGTAACTGTTAACAGAGCTAACTGTAGTTGTAAAAGCTTCAGACTCTAGCATGGAGCTTGGTCAATTTTGCCATGCTGGGTATAAAATGGGCCATCTCAGTGGCAAGGAGACGAGGTGGGTGGTATTTCACTATTATCAAGAATAAAAAGCCGGGAGTGGAAGTGTGTCCTTTGGACCCCGAGATTTGGGCACATTGATCTTCCTCCTTGATCCAGGACACAAAATTGTGGTGTTAAGGAAAGGGCAGAGGAGTAGCAGCAGCAAAACCAAGAATCAGAGCACAAAATCAAAGAGCGGGGTACTTCCCAGCCCAGAGCCGGCAGACCTGAGAGCCTTCGGCCAGCTTGCAGGATTATGCGCCTCAGCTTGAGCTAGATTCGTTGACCCTCAGAGCTTGAGCTGAGCAATTTATTGGCAGTGCTAAAAAGGCAATTAACGTTGTCCAAGCAGCACAGAGGCCAAGGGCCTTTGTAGCTGGGAGACCCAAGACCAGGGACAGGCTGTCCTGAACAGATGGTCCTGAATTGTAAACTGTCAGCTTTATGAATGAAGGCCATCGGCATGAGAATGGTCTGTAAGTTCTGTGTGGTCATTGCAAAGAATGATGGGATCCAGTTGAGAAGAAGAGAGCTGTGTGGGGATGTTTGGCCTCATAACTGGTTAGAGGACTGGAGGGTGGAGGCAGGTCTGATCCCGGCCTCACAGGAATCAGCGTTGGACTGATGTGGAGTTTGAGTCTCCCTCCCCCTGTGAAGTCAGAGGAGGTCAGACGTCTCCCCACATGACTTTTCTTTCTTTCTTTTTTACAACTGCCAAGTCACTAGGACTTTTTTGTTCTGCTATAGTGAAGATGACTGTAAGTAACTCTATCTCCCCATTGATAGGAAAGCAACATCATTCGAAGTGTTAAAATCAGTATCTTTCTCTGATTCCCAGTACTCTACACCGTCACCTAAAGAGCTCTGGTGGCATACTGGTTGCGTGTTGGACTGTGAGACTCAAGGGCAGCAGTTCAAAACCACCAGCCCCTCTGAAGAAAAAAGAAGGGGCTTTGTAATCCTATAAAGAGTTACAGTTTCTGAAACTCACGGGGACAGTTCTACCCTATCCTATAAGATCGATCTGAGTCAGCACCAACTGGATGAGTGATTGAGTGAGTGAGTGATACTTTTACCTTGCTTTCTTTTTTTTTAATCGTTTTTTTTGGGGGTTCTTTCTGCTTCATCACAATCCATACATACATCAATTGTGTAAAGCACATTTGTACATTCATTGCCCTCATCATTCTCAAAGCATTTGCTCTCCACTTAAGCCCCCTGCATCAGGTCCTCATTTTACCCCCTCCCCCATGATAATTTATAATTATTTTGTCATATCTTGCCCTGTCTGACGTTTCCCTTCACCCACTTTTCTGTTGTCTGTCCCCCAGGGAGGCGGTCACATACAGATCCTTGTAATTGGTTCCCTCTTTCCAACCTACTCTCCCTCTACCCTCCCAGTATCGCCACTCACACCAATGGTCCTAAAGGGATCATTCGCCCTGGATTCCCTGTGTTTCCATTTCCCATCTGTACCAGTGTACATCCTCTGGTCTAGCCAGACTTGCAAGATAGAATTTGGATCATGATAGTGGGGGCTGGGGTGAAGGGAGGAAGCATTTAGGAACTAGAGGAAAGTTGTATTTTTCGTCGTTGCTACAGCACACCCTGTCTGGCTGGTCTCCCCGAGACCCCTCTGCAAGGTGATCTCCAGTGGCCTACAAATGGGCTTTGGATCTCCACTCCGTACTCCCCCCCTCATTCACTATGGTAAGATTTTTTGTTCTGATGATGCCTTATACCTGCTCCCTTCGACACCTCATGATCGCATAGGCTGGTGTGCTTCCTCCACCTTGCTTTCTTTTTCTTTGTAACATGGCTACTGATACTTGACTTGTTATGTGCATACTCTATAATGAATTGTTTATTGGTTTAGTGTAAGTACCAGCAGGGGAGGGCCAATCAATGTCTGACTAAGTCAGGAGCTGAGGAACCCATCAATGAGTGAATTAATTATGTTTCTCTTTTCAATACCTCACCATATGTGTTACTTCATTGTTTCCTTTAACTTTTGTCAACTGCTTCCATAATTCCCAACAAAGCAACTTCAATTGGGAAAATTAACTGACTTTACCTAGAATGACATAATGTGGCAGTTACATAACCTGGCGTCACTTTGGGACATGAGAGGATTAAGAGTGAAGAGGTGGAGTGTAGTCTGTCAATCAGATCATAGTCAGTGAGGCCTCTGGGTGGGCATGGCCTCTCCTTAGAATTCCGGGAAATCTGGCTTTTCCTCCTTGGAGGCAGGAGAGACCCTGCTCACTCCCTTGAAGACTCTGTTCTGACAAGACACATGGCACTACGCTGATAGATCCCATGCCCTGGGAACTGGAAAGTCCTGGAACGTGGAGACCTCTGCTAGTGCTGAGATGCTTACACCACCACTGAACCCAAAGACTTTCTACCCACTAGCCTGTGATCATTCTGCATTCAGTGTCATTTCATGTGTTTTGTGAGTCTGAAGAGGACTTTATAGATTGGTATCTGACATATGGGCTAATATCAAACTTACGGACTTGGACTTGACTGGTTTGGGATGCTTTCTTAATGTACAATTACCCTGTGTATAAAACTCTCTCTTCAACACATATGAGTTTTTGTAGATTTGTTTCTCTAGTCTACCCAGACTAACACATATAATAATCAAGTTCAGTTGCTAAACTGAAAAGATAAATGGGTTTGGGTTCATACCACAAATACAGATTAATCATTCAAGGCCTCTGCTCTTATTTCCTTCCTTTTTGCAACTTTATTTGGGCATCTCTGAACCTTGCTTAGGTCTTGAGACAAGAAAACATAGTTTTAAAAATGACTTTTTAGTCTGTGTTGATATCTCTTCGAAGGAAGAACAAATGATTGTTGGGGTCTGAGTATTATGGTCATCTAGCTCCAGATCCAGATTGATACATTTACTTGACACGTTACCAGCGGGATGTCAAAATGTTCAAGTCACCAGCAAGACCCAGCATGCAGCAAATACATGCCTTTGTTCTTCACCTAAGAGTGGGAGACTAAACATACGACATAATAATCGACTAGATGATATACACATAAACTCACCACCACGGCCATCGAGTGGATTCTTGTTCATAGTGACCTTATAGAGCAGCAGTTCTCAACGTGTGGGTCGTGACCCCTTTGGCGGTCAAACGACCCTTTGACAGGGGTCCTGTAGACCATCGGAAAATACATTACGATTTACATTATGATTCATCAGAGTAGCAAAATGACAGTGATGAAGTAGCAACAAAATAATGTTACGGGTGGGGTCACCACCACGT